TCCATATATGATGTATCGGGAGGAGTTTACCCTTCCCCAAATAACTCTCTGAATTCTTTCCAGATTAGAATCATGGTGTCAATAAATATAGGTAGATAAAATTTAATAAAGCTTGACACATTACACAGTAATTACTAAGAACCAGTAATTTTCCTGATGCCCGTCGGTATTTCAATAGAAGTCAGAGTCATCATCAAGATCCCTCTGCGCTTGTCACAAGTATAAGCCATTTTTCAAGTAACTTTTAATGCAAAAATGAGAAAATTTACATGAGTGCCTCAAGAATATATTGATTTCTGATTTACTGACCTTACATTATGATGTTAGCTCTGAGATCTCTGAATGAATAAGTTGATGAAGAAACTGTCCCTCATGCAGGAGGGTAAAGGATCCTGCAGATGGAGTGCCGGGCGGCATAATTTTGAAACAGAGTTGACAGACCTTGAAGCGAATGCGAATCCTCATTCGATGTTTCGAAGGACTATCGACGTGCTTTTCCACAACAACTATGTTACTCATTAATTAATGGAGCCCATTAATCTTATAAACAACAAGAGTTCTGGAAAAGCATGGTGACGTCCTGGATAATTTGACGGACTATGCTGTGCAGTCACTCACATCATGAACTCTACTACTTTAATTTCTCATATTATAATTTTATTTTTTAAAATTAGAAATGTCGAATAATCATTTATTCTTTTGTAGCCACCACAGTTCATCTCCTATTTCTGGGTCCTGGCCTGGTGCTGCGAAGCTTGATGCTCGATATAAATGAAACTCATTTCACACTCAAGCAATTCACAAACGATACCCAATAGTAATGATTTCTAGAAATATTAGTTTCAGAGCTCGTAAAAACAAAATTTATTTTAAATTTCAAACGTGTGGCATTTATGTACACGAATTATAAATAAAAAAATAAATAAAAAAAAAATGTTGTGGATAATAATCGGATTACGAGTGAGACATTTCACATTTCCAACTTAACCCAACCAGCGTAAACAAACCAACACCCGAAGTTCACCATTCCACACAGGCAAATTCAGGGAAGTGATGACTGTTGTTCCGTTGAATCCCCGAGATTATAATTTTCCTCAACCGGGAAATGCTGCCGTGATTGCGAAGAGAGCCGTAAGTGCAAAATTTTCGAAATCGAGTTTTCTTCAAAATTCGTCTTAACTCTTTTAGATGAAATTACTGAGACAGCTAAAACAGCAAAATTCATCCTATTTTAATGAAAACGAGACGTTTGTAAAAGCCGTAACTGCACAAAAAATGACACAGTTTTTTTTTCAAGACAGCCGTAGATGCATGAGAGCCAATGAAAACAGTGCTTTCCAGTAAAGTGCCGCCCTCTTCTGCCAATTTCTAACCTGAAAATGTGTTTGTTGTGCGTCCTAAACGCAACCACGAAAGCTTGCAGAAGATAGCACTTACGGCTGTCTTGCCTAACTATAACCTAGCATGAAAATAAAAAATACCCTTTTTATGTAATGGAAATAGAATCAGTCGATTTTTAATCATCCATACGATTTCTAGGAGTCTTCCGGACGATTAGTGGCAATTCGACAAAGAACGGAGGCTTCTTTCATGAAAATGATCTTGTCAGAAGCTTCTGAGCCCGTTTTCTCAAAACTTCATTTTTGCACTTAAGGCTCTTTTTGCTATCACGGCAGAATGAGGCATGCACCGTCTCTACTTGTCTCTGTGCCAAATGCTTTCTTAAAGTCGAACATGGACTGTAATTAATGAAAATTAAAAGATTTCGAGTTGTTTGCGTCCTTCCTGTTATCAATTTTCGTTTGTTTACGATCCCGGCCTTTGGAGCGTTGGACGGTTTCGATGGCCGATGCTCAGTCGGCCGCCGCCAGAAGCGCTGCGAATGTGACGTCATTAGTATGTCAGACAAGCGGGATTTACAAAAATGCGCATTCTATTTACGCAAATATCTCGCTGATTAGTTGGTTTCATGAATTCCCGTTTTCACCATTGGATTCTACGCAAAATTCTGAAGCAGATTTATGTGCTCAGAGCCTCCAGTTCTTACCCTATCTAGAGGCTCATTGAATTAAAAGAGATTATGATCACATGATTCACATGAACTGTGGTTTTGTTTTATTTAATTAATTTTTGCATAGTACCTTTTTAGCATTAATGCATCTAAATGACCATGTGCAAACAGGTATAATAACCTAATTCTTGAGAGATTCCACGTTCCACCTATGACTCATCCTGGATAGGTGAACCGAGTCTAGGTATCGCATCTGCTAACCCGTGATTCATTTGGCCCAGCAGTATGTCCTGTCAAGCAGTCAAAGCAAAGCCCTCAGTATTGCAGAGTAAGAAATATACGCCTTTTTCTGTCATCATGGGAAATGGATCTTAAGAATAATCCGCTAATAAGTTGTCGACGGTGCTTCGGCAGGATTGATGCCAGTCAGGTGTAGTGCTGTTAATGTTTTGTTAATATTTCTCCAATCTTTTTAACTTAATCTGTTAAGTGAAGAAGTTTTACAGGACTCCTTTCGGAAGATCCTAGTCTTGGCAAATGCACAAGGTGTCAAACCTCAGGATTATCCCGATTCTATCAGGATAAGAGGTCAATCTGGAATTAATCCTGATTTCATCAGGATTATTTCCAGTATATATATATTCCAGATTATTTCCAGACAGTCGGCCGTCCGATTAATTTTTTTATTGAGCTATTTTTGTGAAGTTACTTTCGCCTAATTTTTCTTTGCCTAAAATCAGGATGTGGAAAAATTGTGAAATCAGGATCTAGCAGGAAAAATCAGGATTACCTAAAATGAGAAAAAACTAGACACCCTGATGCAAGCGTGGTGGAGATGTTGCATGTGTGAGGAATTTGCGATTTGACTGATAGTTCTGGTGTTAAAGTTGGCGAGAAACAGGATGGTGCCACTGGTTCTCTCTGAAATCAACTCCCAAGCTCAAAAAAAGCTCTCAAGTTGAGGCCAAAATGGAGGGGATATCCCTTGCTATCCACCTCTACATCAAGACAAACTTTCCATGCAAAGATAGGGAACAAATACATTATCAGGGTTGCCGTGTTTTCAGTGTTGGAGTCCCTAAATAAAGTGGCAGCCCTGTCAATGTATTTGCTCCCTATCTTTGCATGGAGAGTTTGTCTTAATATAGAGGTGGACTCTCAGTATAGCGTGGAATATCCCCTCCATTTTGGCCTCAACTTGAGAGCTTCTTTTGAGCTTGGGAGTTGATTTCAGAGAAAACTAGCGGCACCATCGTGTTTCTCGCCAACTTTTGCATTAGAATCAACAGTCAAATCGAAAATTCCTCACATACGCAACATTTCCATTTTGTGTTCGCTTTTAAGTTTCTCAGTTAGTGTGGTAAGCGGGTAAGCGTCCAGCCCACCTACAAACTGGGGCTCTCAAACCTGCACCAATTCTTCAATTTCTCGGCCATTTCTGCTCGAAATTCCTTCAAAATTTCTGGATCTGATCTGTGATGTGTCACGAACACATAAGTTACCTTCAAAGATCGTCAGTCCGACGATCTTTGAAAGACAACAGTCAAGAACTGCACCGATGTGCCAGTTTGTGGGCTCTAGTTTGTAGGTGGGCTGGACGCTGTACTCCTATTCCTGTAAAGGTCTGGATTCACGATCAAATTTCCATCAACTTCCGATCAAATGGTGACTGGTGCGCACCATCTACCATCAATTTTTTGCAGCCTGCGAAAATTTGATGGTAGATGATAGAACTATGGGTCTCATCCGTCATCTGATTTCCACACAGCAGTGCTGATTTCATGCTTTTTCTAATCAAAACGCTGTTTTAATTAATTTTACCCATCAATCTAGATAACCCTCGACCGCCATTTTGTCATCGTTTTGATCGGAAATTGACAGAAACTTGAGCGTGTATCCAGATCTGAAGTATTTCTGAACCGGCCGTCAGGTGTAGAGTCCCTTTAAACCCAGAGTAAGGCCTTGTCTCGACGGCGCAACTGTTGAGGGAATTAGGTGAAACTGTAGCGAGTTCGTTGCACCAACCGAAATTCCCTGTCTCGACGCGCACGCATGTGTTCCTGGAACTTTTATGCGGGAATATTTGAACAATATTAATTTTTCTAGGTTAAATGATGTCAATTGAGATAATTGAACTGATAATTATGAACGGGAGGTGAATATTTTGCGTTATGTCGACCAGGTATAAAACAAAAAACAATAACATTACTCAGATATGGATAAAAAGAAAATATATTCGATAAAATTTTATTTTCCTGCTGTAGTGATATGCTACAAACGAAAATATAAAATTGATACTGAAATGTGTACAAATATTTCTAAATAATAACCGCTCCGAAATAAAACACCCGTAATACACTCCCGCTTCACGTGTAACCAGCATTTATCAATTCAAAACATCGAAGGTAAACAACTGTTGAGGTTCCAGATTTCTGACCTTGAAAGTTTCACTTATAAGTGAAACATTTTTGAGACACTTCCTTCCTTCAACAGTTGCGCCAATTTCCCTCAACAGTTGCGCCGTCGAGACAAGACCTAAAGACATCTCATTTCTGGTTTGGCTGAAAGTGGCCCAAAAAAAATTCAATTCTGATTGGTTCTCTTTTATGGAGCCACAAATGAGTGCACCAAGATGGCGGTGCCTCGGATGTGAAAAAAAATAATGGAAACTTAATCTAATTGTTATTTATCAAGAGTAGATTGTTATTTTAGTTATAAGAAAACTGAGGAGTTATTCACAATTCATTTTATTGCAATTTCTCTGGTTAGGTTTTGATCAGTTTCCAAAAAAAACTACCACCATGACAACAAATTTTGATTTTGTCAACACTATTCTCCATGGCTAATGAAGGTAGTTTTGCTTTAAACGTCTATGACATATCAAACATACCAAATATTTTCTCATCAGCTAAAAGATGCATCACTTGGTGCGTCTTTTCTAGTTTTAAGTTTAACTTGAAAGTAGTGCAACCACTGTTATGTGTTACAGGTCTTGGCAAGGAGAGGCTTTTTGCGCTACCTATATGAACAAATTGAAATGTTCCAGAGAAGAGGTACTTCAGATGTCATTGAAGAAAGTAATTTTACAATTGAGAAATTTAAGTTGAAGGATTCTGTTGAATTCCATTTCTTTTCCAGTCATATACCATGTGGAGATGCCTCCATAATTCCAAAATGTGACGGTGATGAAGGTTTGTTCAATGGAAACAACCGGAGAGAAGAATGTAAATGTTTCGATTCTAAAAGAAAATTGTCAGACAGTGAAACAGAAGATCGCTGTAAAAAATCTAAGATGGATTGCTTTCTGATGTCAACTTGCCCTTTAAATAGAGCACAGAAGAATCAACAAGAAAATAGTGTCTACGATGTGTTTCGCACCGGTGCTAAGTGTGTACCTTCAGATTCTCGACAAGACGCACTTCTACCTGGAGTGAAATATCACAGCCTTGGAGCAGTGAGGACCAAACCTGGTCGAGGTGATCCAACCATGTCAGTCTCTTGCAGCGATAAAATAGCAAGATGGAATGCTGTTGGTATCCAGGTGAGCTTCATCTTTACTTCGCGATCCCTGAATTTGATGAAAGGATTAGGCACATCTTAGTCAGAGCACTGCAGAGCTCTTTCAGTTGAGTCTCATATTCCTGTTAAACCTTGAAAAGAACAAAATCTTGAAGTGAAGCTTAAAATGAAGCTAAAAGGTCCGATCAATTTATTTGACTAATTTCATAGAAAACAAGTTTTCTGATTAAAGTAAGGGAGGTCCTCGTAGATCATTCTCATTTTCTACCCTTTGTCTCCGCAACAATGAAAAAGCAAGGAATGCTTTGTGACGGAACAATTTAGCACATATTTACATAGTTTGTGAAAAAATTCCTAAGGATGTCTTGAAAATTGTTGATCCTTTTTTCATCTTTTTTCTGCCTTTGCAATTAATTTACTTTAAGAAGTACCAAAGTTTACCGAAATATCTCTACTTCGAGTTCCTATAGGTAATCAGAAACTCACTTCAGAGAGTGCTTGCAATAATCAGTGTATATGCAGAGTTTGTTAAGTTTTCAATAAAGTAACTAGGCAGAGTTTTATAAGTATCTTGAATCTGTTGAGGTTGTTGCCAGTAAAAACAATGGCTATGTTTCATAAACTACCCTGAGGCAGACTAATTTAGGCTGATATCAGTCTGACTCAAGGTAGTTTATGAAACATAGCCTGACGTCAGGTTGATTCAATTTTACGAGGGATGTCACGTCGTCACGTAAACATTTAAAAAATTCACCCTCCTGCCTTTCAAATCTGGCCGCCATCTTGGCATTTGGAGTTATCCCTTTGACTTGAGGGCTTTTATGACTTCATTAATGAAATCTACGACCGAAATTACGTAAGAAATGATACCTCACTCGCCTTATCACGCGAACTTTTTAAAAATCCACCCTCTTGTCTTTCAACATTGGCTGCTATCTTGGATATGGGGTACCCCCTTTTGACCGGGGGACTTTTTTGACTTCGCATCTGAAATCTAAGACCAAAATTACATTGGAATCGACACCTCACATGACACTGTATGCGTATTTTTAAAAAAAATCGAACTCCCAGAGGCCTTATTATGGCCGCCATTTTGATATTTAGGCAATTTGGGGGGAAGTTCCGGGATCGAACCGTGGTAAACTTTTGGTATGTTGTTCAATAGGACCTCCTGAAGACGTTTACATGGGAAAAGTTTGTTAAGCAATTTGTTCCGGGTTAACCCTCTTTTTTTCGGATTTCTCCTTGACTAACCCCCCAAAAAACCCAAAAGTCGTGGATTTAAGGATATGAATTTTAGGCAATATGCACGAATAACTATGTACGGGCACTTGATTGACTGAAAATGTATAGGATATGCATTTACGAGCCACAAAAACAGCCTAACTTGACTTTTTCAGCGCCTTGACCCGAAATTCCCGCCAAAAAAGCGAAAAATTGAATTTCCTCATAAACGGCCCCATCACAGATTTCGCGGTTTGATGTTCCTCAATCAGTAGGCCTTCTAGTTGACATTTCCGCAAAAAAATCGCGGGCGGTATGTTGACCGCATTAAAAGTGTATAAAACGTACCGCGCAATTTTACGTAAAAATATTGAAATTTTACTGGATTATTTTCGTTGTTGTCCAGGAAACGAAGCATTTCGATGGCCAAAAATTAACATACGGCTGGATCTAGGCCCAATCGATTCTTCATATGAAAAGGTGTTTTTAGCCTAAAGCCCCCATAAATCCCCTTGGGGGGATTCCGCACAGTGGTCTGATGAAGTTGAAAATTGGACACAGTCCCAAAAATTAACTACGGATGAATGTCAAAGTAATTTAAATGTGAGTAAAATTGAAAGAAATTAAAAAATGAGAATTATTGACCGGCATTTTCTGTTTTTACGTCCTTATGAAAACCCGGATCGAAAAATACCCTTCAGTAAAAGTTGTAGATCGTTCTTTCAGCGTTGATTTGGTATATACGTCATAGGTTTGTCTTTAAAATTGAAGGAGCAAAAGCGCAAAAACGGAGCGGGTCAGCGCGCGGCCGCCCATGTTTTGAATCGTAGACTGGCGATTTTGGGTGGCACATGATGGTAGTGATGGTTAATTCACCTCTGCTCGTCTCCTCACGACCAAAATTAATCATTTTCATTTAAAGGCTCTTCTCTAAAGCGGCACGGTTGCCAGTTTTCGTTTTATTATTTAACTGTTCAATAATTTGTTTTGATAGCGATTCAAGTAATACTTACGACTTTTTAAACCTCCCCTCCTTGTAAAGCAACAGTGCAACTACTTTTCAATCCCCTTTGGAATCAAGTAACTGTCCTGATCTCCCCCCCCCCCAATTTCCTAGAAAGTGACAGAGAGTGTGAAAACTGGCGAATTTTTGTTTCTATTCAAAATTATTATTTCTTCTTAAAGTGGGAGGCTCACGTAAGACTTGACTGGACTCCCCTCCCCTCCCCCTCCGTAAGACTCTGTAAGCCAAACTTAGACCTTTATCGCAGGGATTTAGAGCTGAGGTTTGAGGCAGCATCATAAATGGAGCGGGATCGGCGCGCAAGGCGGAGGTCCGGCGCGGACTTTCATGCCGCGTCGAACAGTGCGCCGGGGGATCGCATGTGCCCTTGAGGCGGCTTAACCTGGTAAAGCCGACACCCGGCATGACTTTTTGATGCTGGGTCCAGCATCAAAAAGCAGACACGTCGGACGCCAGCGCCCCGGGCCCGGCTGCCGGGCGGCTAATCGCACCGGGCTGTGTTTTCAACCCTTCCTCGGCGTCCACTTCTTAGAACTTTCCTCCTCCCTGTCTCTGTCCTCTCATCCGTAGAACCCTCCACCTCCGCGATCACCTTGACGATTCACCCTCTTCTTGGTTTTATTTCATCACTCTCACTTTCCACAGATTCACCACTTTCCTAGTTCGTTGCGATACATCCGCTTACACGTTGTGCGTCCTAGGCTTGCCGATAAGCTGCCTACTTGTTTCAGCACTTCGCGCTTCTCACGGCACGGCAAGGCAGCAAGGCACCCTGCGTTATCTTAACATGCGCTACTCCGTTTTTTTTAAAACTTTCTTTCGCTCTCACTAAAATGTTACTCCCTTACATTTGAACGGGTTTGAACAGAATCATCCTGAACCCACTACAGGTTGGTGTTTGTTTTCTCTTGGAACTAAAACTAGAAAATATACGTACGAAGTTTTAAGTCAGAGTATTACCTTACTTGGTTTTGGCTGAAAAATTAGCACTTAGATAAAAAGTAGGCAATCTCTGATGTGGTTATGCTGAATACGTTTGATTATTTAATCGTTCGGTTCTTCTTCCTTCCATTTTTCTACTTAATTGAGTCTTTTTTTTAATTATTAATGGTTTTTCAGTAGGTAATTAATAATAAATAAATGATTTTTTAAAAGTTCTTCACTCTACGTCGGATTCACATGAGTACCAACGGAACGTCTCTAGTGGGCCCTATAATTTTTTATTGTTACTTTCCTCCGTTCATGTTCAAAGTTCTTAAGGTGATTCGATGGACGCCATATTTCGTGTTAGAACGGCATGCGATATATCGCATCAATTGGTTCCATTTTTTTCAGCTACTCGTCATTTTTCTCCATATTTGAAATCGCATTTCTATCGTTAGGAGACTAAAGCACTCACTTACCAATTTTAACAAAGAAATTCAACGTAACAAAGGCGCGGTTTTTTAAGAGAGAAAACATCGCATTCGATACTGATATCGAAACTGCACTCTAATGCGATATTTTCTCTCTAAAAGAACCACGCCTTTATTACGTTGCATTTCTTTGTTAAAATTGGTAAGTGAGTGTTTTAGTCTCTTGACGACAGAATTGCGATCTCTGAATTGGAGAAAAATGACGAGTAGCTGAAAAAATGGAACCAATTGATGCGATGTATCGCATGCCGTTCTGACACAAATGATGGCGTCTATCGAATCACCTTAATCGTTTTTTACGCTTGTGATTTGGACTCAATTTTCCAGGGGGGGNAATTCCAGGGGGGGGGGGTGGCTTTAAACCTTTGCATTTTTGCTCACTTTCTTCATACATTTCCCATTTCATCATAGCACTTTTCAGCAAATAATTCTTATTTCCAAGTTGCTAAAAAGTTGTAAAGTGATTTGAGAGAGGTGTAAACGGTCTTTCTGGAAAATAAGGTTACCTATGCCCAGGAAAAAAAATCGGCATTTTCGTTAAACACTTAGCTTTCTCAGGAAGAAATTAATTTTTCAGAAAATTCGCAGATGATGCATTAAAACGAAGGTCCTTTTTGGGTTCCGCTGTCAAAAATATATCGGAATATGTGTAAGGCACGTCTGAAAATATTCCGAGTTTCTCATAAGGATGTTTTCTCTGACAAAACAGTTACTCCGTCCACATATCTCAATTTTTCAGA